CATTTAATCAAAAATAAATGCATTTCAACAAAGTAAATTATATTTCAGCATCTTATATTTTAGCTTCTTTCCTCAGGACTAGAAATAATAATACATCAAATCAAACATGGTTCAAACAGATTTGCAAATATTCACCAGCAGCGTCTTGGTTGAATCTTTGAGTCTCTTCTCACACAGGGAACTGTTTGTCCTCTGCCTGAGAGTGTGTTCCCAGGTGTGTTGCATTTATCTGTTTGTCCTCTGCATGAGAGTGTGTTCCCAGGTGTGTTGCATTTAGCTCCTTAATTAGGAAGCTCACACTCTTCCTTTGAGCCACATTCTCAGTGGAATCGCACCCTAGGCTCCCTGTCTCCACCTGCTGGACTGGAGCCAGATGTGAATTGCATTTATCAAGCTCTGACAAAACACCTCCCACTTGAGCTCCTGGTTCCTGAACCCAAGGAGGTCACAACACTTTTTCTATTGAAGTTACAGAAAATGATTCAATGCTGATGAGTTTGGTGTATTGTACTATTTCCCAGTCTGATCATCATATTTGCTGTTCTTGCTCCCAGCATTTTGCTCTTCAATGGGAAGCAGAACCACTATGCGCCGGACGTCTCTGTGAAGTACTGTGGCAGGGATTTTAGTTGAGTTTTTTGTTCGTCCCCACAACTTTTCTCCTGGCGGGTTGTTCAATAACCTTTTCCGATGGGACTGGGTAGTTTGGAAATAATAAAAATAATTAAGAACTTAGGTACTATTTATTTCTTAATAATGCTTAAATATAACTTCATAACTTAAAGGGTAATTGTATTTGTACGTGTAGTACGTGTACGATTAAAAACTGTTCCTCGACGGCGTCTCTCAAACAGATTGCCCATCACTGTTGCTTTAGTGCAGGCACCGTGGGAATTGTAGTCCTTTATAGTGTGTTGACTACAGATGTCACAATTAGGTGGGCTTTCTTAAAAAATGAAAATACTGGCTCTAACATTATGTATTGTCTCTACTTTAAAGAGTCCTCTCCTGCTGATGTTCAGGTGTATATCAGTAGTGTCTCTACTATAAAGAGTCTTCTCCTGCCGATGTTCAGGTGTATAATGAATACTGGTTCTTAAAACATGAGCTGCAGCCCTGCTCTGTTCAGATCTAGCTCTGTTTGAGGAAACAGTTGCACAAATGCAAACACACGCACACGATTGTATTGCCACTAACAGTGTGCAGTCTGCAGAGAGTGGAGGTTACATAACAGCTGTTCAAAGATGATTAAAATAAACTCCAGAGAGGAAGCAGAAACTCAGATACTGAAATCAGACAGGAGTTAGCAGATAATGTGAGATCACAAATACAAAGTCTAATAAATAAATAATTTGTGAGATATACTGCATCTATTTTTAAAATGCAAATGATCTAATGATCAAACTAACTTCAGTGTTTTAAATATGATGTAATATGCAAAAAAACATCAAACTAACTTCAAGTAAAAAATAATTCAATAATGATACAAAAATAAAAATAAAATAACTTCACTTTTCAATTATAATTAGAAATAAATGTGACTTCCTCAAATTGCACATTTCTAGGGTTTCGTATGTTTGCAGGACAAAAACAAAGCAGCATGAAACACAACAAAAGTTATTTTAGCTAATTAAACCTACTTTACGACAATGAACAGGATTCTGATTTTAAAACTATCTACAGAGTTTGCAAAAGTGTTAACTTTAACGGTTAGTGTTGCTGCAGTTTTACAGTAATGGCAGTGTTTTACAACAGATTCCCGTGTTTTACTTACAGAACCGTTTGCAGTGTTTGCAGAAAGGGCCATGTTGAATTGAAATTTGGGTGTAGAGCTGAAAATGTGTTGAGTTTTGGAGCTATGGTTGTGCTGTTTTGAGTGCCAGTTTAAATAGTTGTGCTTTTTGAGATATTTAGTTCATCAGCACCTGAAAAAAACCCAGCAGAGGGCGCCAAACCTCTCTTTTCCAGCAACATCAACCAGCTCTGACTGAGAGATTCAAGGCACTCCTTACTGCCTTACTATACTTACAGAGGTGGAGAAGTACTTAGATCTTGTACTTGAGTAAAAGTAGAAGTACTCAGATCTTGTACTATATAAACACAATATATATAAATAAAAAACACTGCTGTTTTCTCCTAGGTGCCCTTGAAGCCCGGCCTGTCTTTATGTCCATGGACAATGTATTTAACTTGTTAAGCCCTGAGCCTGTTTTTCATGTCTCAGGCTCGAAAATGACATTCCCAGAACAAATGACCATATCTTCCCTTCTAAAAAGGGGTACATTAATAATCTTTTTTCTCAAAGCAAGGTTACATCTCTGTGAGTTGGATGTAGAAGTGTCAGAATCAATATAGATATTTTTATTTTAAAGTAAATTCAGATTGAACACAGTAAAAAAATGTAAATTATAGTGTCCGTCCAAAAAAAAAAAATTACTTATAGTGAAAACCACCCTTGAATGATGGGATGGTTGACTAAAAGCTTTAGGAATCCAAACTATAACATATAATAATTACCCTGTATTAGGGGTTTCACAACTACCTATCACAACTACTAGTCGACAAGTTTTTCAAAAATAGTAGTCGACTAGTCGACTAGTTGTTACGTCATAATAAAGACACACAAAGAGAGGTGTAAAACTGTATTTTGTATTGCAATTCATACAGTTAAGTTAAACACTGTAACAAAGTAGCATTTTAATTTGTGTTACATGCTGTTACATGGCTGATTAAATAAAAAACAGTAACTGGACTCAACAAATCTACTGCAAAAACTCTGTTAAGAACATCAATGCAACGTAAATCCACTGCGCATTGCGCAACACTTTACTCGCTGTCACTGTCCTCCTCGATAACGATGTCCACCATTCCAGGTTTTTTGGTTAGCATTAAGGAAGACCAAAGCATCAACATGTGAGGGAAGGAGGCTTGACCGCTGTCGGGTGACAGTGGTGCCTGCCAGGGAAAACATCCGTTCACTTGGGGTGCTGGTGGCTAGCCAGGTAGCTCCTGGAAAGCTTGGCTAAATGGGGGAAGCGGTTTGCGTTTTGTGCCCACCACTTCAGAGGGTTATCCATTGTGGGGATATGGGGTGTCTGCTGGCAGTAATCCCGTAGCTCATCCGCGCCACTGTTGACCCATATTTTCTTGTTGCTCTCTAAATGAGGTCCTAGTGGAATGCTAGTGGAACACGCTCGTGCATTTTTAGTGCCGGAGCTAAAACTGAAACTGGAGAGCGCATAATTGCGGCGAATTTGCGCATAAGATGAGAACTCCTGAATGTCGGACGTGTTTTGCTGGAGCATTTTGCAGCACCTCAGCGCCAATGTCGGCATCCTCGTCTCCCACGTTTGTCTCCATTTTGTTCACGACTAGTTAACTAGGGCCTACAGCGCCAACTAGTGGTAAAGGTAGTCGACTAGCCGATCAGTTGGTGAAACCCCTACCCTGTATCAAGATTGATGCAAAACAATTGAAACTTGACCTTTTTAGAGAGATTTAGCACAAAAAAACACGTCTGGGGTCATTTGGGTGGATTTGACCTATCTCTGGCCCCCCTTGGTCGATTTTGATGATTGACAGCTCTTTTTAACCACTAGAGCCAATGGAATCGAGGGGAGCTTCCACATACACACATGTTACCAAATAAGGAGTGAGAGTTACGCGTAGGCAAAACCGGAAGATGCGATAACTCTGGTGGCTACCATTAGCAGCTAATATTTATTCTCTGATTTTTACATTCAAATGGATTATGGATTATCAATAATTTTTTCAAATTGACAGACACATTGGATTAACCTATGGATTAACCCTCAGCAGGATATTTTTCTAAGGTATTTTTTTATTTTGGTACAGTGTGATCATTTTAACAAAAGAGAACAGAATCAGACTGAAAACTTCATAAATATCTAGATACATTAATCATTGGTTTTTCTTTCAGACCAGAACAGACTGCTTTACTCAACTATCAAAACATCCCAATCAAAGTTTAAAGTCTCAACATTTTATTAACCAAACAGATTATTCGAAAAACTACTCGACAGATTAATGAACAGTGCAACTAAATTCCTTCAATGCAGCTTAACGAGGCTAGCAATTAAACCCTGGACATATAATATTTTATAAAAGAATAACAAGGCTATTAGAAAGTTAGTTTAAAAACAGCATAGTGAAACAATTCTTTATAGATCAGGAACCGTTACAAACATGAATTAAATCGGGAGAAACAGCATTTATGTGGCCTTGTGTTGGTATAGTGTGAACGCTGGTTAGAACATAAACAACTGTTAGTCAGATTTCAATTCAGAAAGACTCTTAAATATAACAATACAGCTCTCAGGACATCAGGAGGAGGAAACAGCTAGCTTGGCTCTCATTGTTGTTAAAAACTATGCGGTGTGGATTCGCTCGTGGACTTTAAAAGGTGACCTATCATGCTATATTTGAACAATATATTGTAGGGCCATACCTATATAAAGTATATAAATATAGTTTTTTTTTCAAAATACCAAACAGATCCTGCATTTTAGCCATGCCTCATTTTGCTCTATATGCTCTTTCCAGCTCTGTTTTTGCAGGGGGCTGATTCTGTGAGCTGCAGCTGACCACGCCCCCCTGCAGGAGAGGGGAGCTTGCATTGAGATCAGCTGCTGGGCTGCAGCAAGGAGAAGAGGGGTACAAAAAGAGATCTCTGTCCTCCGTGTTTTATTCTTATATATGATTATATAGAGTCATTATTCATTTGTTTTAAAGCTCAATAAATAACAAAGAAGACCTTTGACCAGCACTTTTCTAATTTTGTCCGGAAGATTTAAACTTTAACGGACATGTTGACCGGCGAAAAAAAATCTAACTGAAACTCTGCCGCACGGTCCCCTCGTTCCCTTGGAAGAGAAGGAGAGGTGGGTGTTTGTCATCTGCTGGTGGACTAACCGGAGAGAATTACAGCGAGGGAGGGATTGCAATGAATAACAGCAGCAGGAGCAAACGCTTGCCTCGGAGAGGGAGAAAAAGAGCCACAGCGGAGAATAAACAGAAGGGCAACCATGGCAACCATGCGCGGGAAGTCTTCTTCGCTGCTTTTGTGGCAGCCTACAGTGCCACTTACAGGCCTGGCATATTTACTACAGCGTCTCCAGCGCTTTCGAGCGGCAATGGCCGATGGTGGCCCAACCGCACATTCCCCTGATAGGTGGAGAGTTGGCCATACAGGCGGAGCACCACTTCTGTGATGTAGAAAATAATTCAAATCTGGATCAGTCTGTATCAGATCCGTTGCAGCCCCGTTTTTAGAGATTTGGGTATGGAGGAAAAGAGAGAGGGTTGTGTTTTCTGACACTTGGAACACCGGGGACACATATTCATGTATAAAAGACGTACAAAAGTGCATTTTGCATGATAGGTCACCTTTAACATATCGTCCACACGGTTCTGTAGCGTTGAAGATTGCTGGTGGGCATGTCTGGCGCGCGACCAACAACCAATCACATTCATCTCCCGATCCGGACACACAAGCACGGGGACGGACGGAACCGTGTGGACAGACTAAGACTAAGGACAGACTAACTATCAGTGGTAAGACTGATACTTTGAGAAAAAGTTTCCCCACACTCTTCACACCAGTATGGGTTTTCTCCAGTGTGAATACGGTGGTGTGATTTGAGTTCACCTGATGTCTTGAACATTTTCCCACACTCTTCACACCAGTAAGGTTTTTCTCCTGTGTGAATACGGTGATGTCTTTTGAGATCACCTGATGTCTTGAACATTTTCCCACACTCTTCACACCAGTAAGGTTTTTCTCCTGTGTGAATACGGTGATGTCTTTGGAGGGCACTTGATGTCGTGAATGTTTTCAAACACTCTTCACAGCTGTACGGTTTCTCTCCCGTGTGAATAAGTTGATGTGATTTGAGAGTACCTAATTGAGTAAATGTGTTCCCACACTCTTCACAACAGTGCGGTTTTTCTCCTGTGTGAATACGATGATGTGTTTTGAGAGCATCTGATGTTGTGAATGTTTTCCCACACTCTTCACACCTGTACGGTTTTTCTCCTGTGTGAATACGTTGATGTGATTTTAGATTACTTGATTTAGTGAAAGTGTTCCCACACTCTTCACAGCTGTATGGTTTTTCTCCAGTGTGAATAAGCTGATGTGTTTTGAGAGGACCTGATTGAGTAAACGTTTTCCCACACTCTTCACAGCTGTACGGTTTTTCTCCAGTGTGAATACGTTGATGTGTTTTGAGAGCACCCGATGTCGTGAACGTTTTCCCACACTCTTCACAGCTGTGCAGTTTTTCTCCAGTATGAATACGCAGGTGGAGCTTTAAATATTCAGATGTTGTAAAGGATTTGTCACATTGCTGACAGCTGTGACGTCTCTCTCTTCCTTTCGGTTTCTAAAACAGATGGACAGAGAAAGAGAGAAATGTAATCCTAAAATCATAAATACATATAGAGTTAACACAATAAAAAGTAACTTAATACTTAATACATATACAGTTAACAACATACTACTTGTACTAACTGTTTGTGTTTATTATATTTGATCCAGTAATACGGCAACATTCTAACCACAGTATATACCAGAGGTGGGGGAATCGAGTCGCATGACTTGACTCGCATATTTTTTGACTCGAGACTTGACTAACATTGATAAAAGACTCGACTTGACTTTGACTTGGTATTCATGACTTGAGACTTGACTTAGGCTTGAGACAGATGATTCGAAAGGACTTTACTTTTTAAAATAAAATATTTGCATTTGTTTTTGTATTGTACGATGCTCCTAAAGGGCAATGAAAAAACTAAAAAAGAGAGAGAGAAAGTATCCGGTGCGCCAAGTAGGAAGAGGAGCGCACAGGAGACAACCGTTTCATTGCTCACTGTTATGTTTATGTGGGAAAATGGCAGTTCATACATTATTTGAGATATATTTCGAACTCAGACTTAATTTTAGGGACATTTCGGCCAGGGGTGTAGAGCTATTTGTTTAAAGTGTCTGTAAATGTAAATGTCTGTAAAGTTTTTTTTTCTAAATATCAAACAGATCACCCATTGTAGCCATGCCTCATATTGCTCAAACCCCTCTTTTGAAGCCCTGTTAGAGAAACGCAGATTTTGGGTCCTTAGCTTGAAAAAAATAAATAAGAGAAGGCGGAGCTAATGCCTGATCAGAATTCTACCGAAGATAAAGTTAAATTCGGTTGTGATAAAACGCCATCCTGTTTAAACCACAAGGATTATTTCTGAAATAGTATGGAGCTCAAATGCTTTTTCTCTTGCAAGTTTATCACAAGGTGAGTTCTTTTTTTATTTCCTGCTTTTCAAACACATGTGCTCTTCAGTACAGGTTAGCTCTGAGTGTTAGAGAGGCTTACAAGAGGGAAAGAAAGAGAAACTTTAAAACTGTTCAATTATTATGATGTGTAAAGACTGATATTGTTCTATAATCGGCTGAAACTGTTAAGTCATGATGTGAAACAGTTAACAAAGAAAAAGGGAAACTCATGCTGCTACACTTAATTTTATTTATCTAAAATTAAGCACTTTTAAGATGCACATATTTTCAAAAGCTATTTTATTTATTTTCTCTATTTTATTTTTAAATGCTGCCCGAGAGGAACATTACACATATCCACAGTATTTTACTGTATATCTGTAGAGTTCAATGTTAATTGACAATAAATATTGTTGTTTTTGAATTGTACTTTCTTTATTTGATTGGCAGTCAGTTGTTGATTACATGCAGACGTTGATAAAGCTGCAGGCTACTTCAATATATACAGTGGGGCAAAAAAGTATTTAGTCAGCCACCAATTGTGCAAGTTCTCCCACTTAAAAAGATGAGAGAGGCCTGTAATTTGTATCCTAGGTACACTTAAACTATGAGAGACAGAATGTGGGGAAAGAATCCAGGAAATCACATTGTAGTATTTTTAATGAATTCATTGGTAAATTCCTCGGTAAAATAAGTATTTGGTCACCTACAAACAAACAAGATTTCTGGCTCTCACAGACCTGTAACTTCTTCTTTAAGAGCCTCCTCTGTCCTCCACTTGTTAACTGTATTAATGGCACCTGTTTGAACTTGTTATCAGTATAAAAGACACCTGTCCACAACCTCAAACAGTCGCACTCCAAACTCCACTATGGCCAAGAACCAAGAGCTGTCAAAGGACACCAGAAACAAAATTGTAGACCTGCACCAGGCTGGGAAGACTGAATCTGCTAGACTCCTGGTCCTAGACACCTGGTGCTAGACTCCTACTACTAGACTCCTGGTACTAGACTCCTGGTGCTAGACTCCTGGTACTAGACTCCTGGTGCTAGACTCCTGGTGCTAGACTCCTGGTGCTAGACTCCTGGTACTAGACTCCTGGGGGACCTAGTCAATGACCTGCAGAGAGCTGGGACCAAAGTAACAAAGGCTACCATCAGTAACACACTACGCCGCCAGGGACTCAAATCCTGCAGTGCCAGACGTGTCCTCCTGCTTAAGCCAGTACATGTCCAGGCCCGTCTGAAGTTTGCTAGAGAGCATTTCGATGATCCAGAAGAGGATTGGGAGAATGTCATATGGTCAGATGAAACCAAAATAGAACTTTTTGGTAAAAACTCAACTAGACGTGTTTGGAGGAGAAAGAATACTGAGTTGCATCCAAAGAACACCATACCTACTGTGAAACATGGGGGTGGAAACATCATGCTTTGGGACTGTTTTTCTGCAAAGGGACCAGGACGACTGATCCGTGTAAAGGAAAGAATGAATGGGGCCATGTATCGTGAGATTTGAGTGACAACCTCCTTCCATCAGCAAGGGCATTGAAGATGAAACGTGGCTGGGTCTTTCAGAATGACAATGATCCCAAACACACTGCCCGGGCCACGAAGGAGTGGCTTTGTAAGAAGCATTTTAAGGTCCTGGAGTGGCCTAGCCAGTCTCCAGATCTCAACCCCATAGAAAATATTTGGAGGGAGTTGAAAGTCTGTGTTGCCCAGCGACAGCCCCAAAACATCACTGCTCTAGAGGAGATCTGCATGGAGGAATGGGCCAAAATACCAGCAACAGTGTGTGAAAACCTTGTGAAGACTTACAGAAAACGTTTGACCTCTGTCATTGCCAACAAAGGGTATATAACAAAGTATTGAGATTAACTTTTGTTATTGACCAAATACTTATTTTCCACCATAATTTGCAAATAAATTCTTTCAAAATCAGACAATGTGATTTTCTGGATTTTTTTTTTCTCATTTTGTCTCTCATAGTTGAGGTATACGTAGGATGAAAATTACAGGCCTCTCTCATCTTTTTAAGTGGGAGAACTTGCACAATTGGTGGCTGACTAAATACTTTTTTGCCCCACTGTATATCACACTAATTCAAAAAGCAAGTTAGACATTTTGATTTTCCGGACCTTTGCATGGGGACATATTCTCTAACTGGACCTCGTTTAATTGTAGTTGAATACCCCTGCTCTAGAAGCATGAGAGGTGTCAGTATACTGATATCTAAGAACATATCTTTTGAAATGACTGATTTGGTTAGTGATAAGGAAGGTCGATATCTGGTTTTGCGAGGTAAATTGCAGAATGAAAAATGCATATTAGTGAATATTTATGCTCCAAACTCTGCGCAGGCTTCCTTTATGTGCCCTCTCATCCCCATTTTGGCGAAGTACACTGACATCACTATCTTGATGGGAGGAGACTTTAATCTACACTGAACAAAAATATAAATGCAACACTTTTGATTTTGCTCCCATTTTTCATGAGATTTTTTCAAAGATCTAAAACATTTTCTATATACACAAAATAACCATTTCTCTCACATATTGTTCACAAATCTGAAAAAATCTGTGATAGTGAGAACTTCTCCTTTGCCGAGATAATCCATCCCACCTCACAGGTGTGGCATATCAAGATGCTGATTAGACAGCATGATTATTGCACAGATGTGCCTTAGGCTGGCCACAATAAAAGGCCACTTTTTTTTTAGGTAATAAAAGATGCTTCACAAGACCGCCCAGGCCATCCTCTTCCAATGGACAGATCACTATCGAGTGCCTTCAATGAGCTGTTAGAATCACTGGCAATGGCTGATGTGTGGCGGACACTGTACCCTCTCTCTTGTGAATATACATTTTATTCTAAGGTGCATAAATCCTACTCAAGAATTGACTACCTCTTATTATCCCACTCTGTTATTAAAAATGTAATGGATGCGGACATACATAGTATTGTCCTATCAGACCACGCCCCTCACTCACTTTTTTCCTAGTTGCTAGTGAGAACAGACCTAAACAATGGAGACTTAACAACTCCTTGTTAAAAGAAGACACATTCATCTCACTTATTGAAAATAAAATAAAAGAATATATATCAATAAATGTAGACTGTGTCTTCCATTCAAACTGTATGGGAAGCCTTTAAGGCCACCTGCCGAGGGTGGGTAATCAGCCATGCATCAGAAACAGAAAAGCTATTAAAAAGAAAAATAATTTACAATCAGAACTTAAAACTATTGAGAAACAGCATATGCGTGATCCTAAAAACCCACTACTTCAGAAAACATTACTCACAGTTAGAGCTGACCTGCAGGCAATATTACATGAAGAGACAGCTTTCTCCCTCTCTATCTATTGGCAAGAAAACCTACAAGAGATTATACAGTGCAATCAGAGAGATACAGTATGTCCACGTTTTTGAGCAAGTCCACGAATCCAGTCTTTGTCAAGTCTGTCACCACCAATTCTATCAGTTTCCCAGTTACAAAGGGACGCGGGAAGTCAGTCAGAGTTGGGGGTGCGTGCAGCGTCTCGCAGCGGAGTAACTGTGGTGCGGAAGGGGGGCTGCGAGTGGAGCTTCGCAGTTTTTCAGGTTGATATGTGAAGCTCATTAGCTAGCCAACATGTATCTAGCAAATGTTTAGCAAAATATTAGAATGAGGCTAGACTAACGTTAGGTCTACTGCAAAAGCCTTACTTTTAATATTTTTCAAAACATTAGCTAGCACTAGTGTTTTGCAGTTGCTAGCAGCTTATTGGGATGTTATGCCAGATAGACAGGCATTGTTTTGATATAATAAATGAAGCATTATTGTTAGTTAAGCATGTCAGCCTGCAGCCCCACTTTTAACTCTCTGTCTCTCTCTAACTCATTGCAGATGGCTGCACTAAAGAAAAGGGCACAGAGAGTAAACCAGTTGTAAGATGTTGTGTTATGTTCACATTTCGCACCCTTTGGTAATGTTCGGGTCAAATTGACCCGGGACATATTTCAAGGTTTAAAAAAAATACAGAACTAAATTCAACATGCACAATTCCTTATATATATTGCAGAGTTCCCGTTAGCCGTTAATTACCGGACTACGACCGGTAAAATATGCTGAAGACCGGCA